GGCATTTTTTTTTTTTTTTCGCTTGCATGTTTTTTTTTTTTCTCAACAAAAAGTGTTGAAAGAACATACATACATGCATACATACAAACATAGAAGTTTTTTTGTAAGGTAAAGAGTTTGGGGTGGGGAAAAAAGAAAATAAATTTAAATAGCAAAAAAGTTAAGAATTGGTTGCGGCAATTCACGAATGGAATATTAAGAGAGCACGTGCTTGGTTTAAAGATGAACTGAGTGAGATTGGCGAAGGTTATTTGATCTAGTCACGTAAACAAAAATCACGCGAAAAAAAATTAAACCAAATAACACACTAGAAATGTTAAGTAATTAAATGAAAGTTATAAGGGAGAACAAGCGGTTTTCATTGATTTTCTTGTTTTTGTTCATTCATTTCCCATTCATAAAATACTGAATTGTGCACGCAAACTAAGGGTCAATCTTACAAGTGAAATTCTCTTGAAATGTTGTAAAATCTTTTTCATTTCCCTTTTCTATTTGTGCCGCTTTTGACTGGGATTTGACTGGGAAAGACAATTTTCTTTAAGACTAAATGTTTATTCTTTCTCTCTGTTTGCTTCGTCACGAGTCACGTCTGCTGCTGCTCATCTTTATCGTTTTTTTTCACTCTGCTCATGAACAATATTTGTTTTTTGTCTTATTTATTGTCGACGTCAACATAAAAAGAGAAAATTCTTTACTTTCTGGTTTTCTTCATGAATCTTTAAATTGAAAAATTTATTTTACTTTTAAACTCAATTGCTTTATTCCTTCTTCCTAATGACGTCATTCGGCAATACAAACAGAGAGAGAATGGAAGAAAAATTGCATTTTATTTCGTTTCATTTCATCCTCGAGCGTTTTCCGACGTTTCATGCTTCTGCAACATTGGCCAACATAAATAAACATCAGCACATGTGAGCGTTTCGGTTCAGCGCATGAGATTTTCAATGTTTTGAAATATTTTTGAGCAAGCAACAACATTTTACTGCTCAGTTTTCTTTTTGCTCTCGAATTCAAAACATCACACAAGAAAAATTTCCTTTTCAGGCTGAAATAATTTTTCTTATTTTTCAAGTTGAAACGAATTGAATTTCGTTCTTATCGGACCAATTAGTGTTAATGAAGTTAATGACCATAAACTCATCATTAAAAGTGTTCAATAAAAGTAGTTTCAGATTAAAGTACGAGAAAAATTAATTTTCTACAACTTTCAAAATAGGCAGAAAGAAAAAGAAGCTTTTTTAATGTGAAGACGAAAACTTTGAAGATTAATGTTTAGTTTCTAATGGCCTTTCAAGTAACGGTCTTTGCTAAGAGTAATAACGAGATCTGTCACTTAAAACGATTTAAGATATTGTAAATTTGAACGCGCTCATCTGCCATTGGCAAGTCGTAAAATTTGTTGACTACAATTTAGAAAAAACGAGAGAAAAGAAAGGAAAAACTTTTTCCTATTTTTGTTTTTGTGTGAGAAAAAAATAATAAACGAAAAATGTTTCGAGTTTTCGAAAAACTTGTTAGACGAAGAAGTTCGACAACTACTGATAGGTAAGTAATACTATGCGTGGGAGTGCTAGGATGGATTATCTTACAAGCGGGATTAAAGAAAATCTACATCCGATGCTTTTAATTGAGTTAATCAGTTACGGGTGGGAGGATTTGTGTTTGTAATGAAAGTTTCACGCTAAATTTCATAACTAAAAGGAAATTATTGAAATAGGAGTTTTATTGATTGTTATGAAACATTAATTGATTGAAATGTTCGATATTATGAAAGTTTCCTTCATAAAGAAAATCCATACCGGAAAACGTTAGAAATTGCTTTTAAATTGAAATTTTCTTTTATCGCCGTTGCGACTAAACAGCATTTTCAATGTACTTTAACTTCCTTTTTTTTATTGAATATTTAAATGAAGGTTAAAGTGATTCGATGGCCACACTTTTCAAGAAGAGAAATGAGCTTGAAAGTATTCTAAGGTTGAATATTAATGATGCAGACACGTTTACCTACAAAACAACCCAAGATACAATTTCTCATTTTTATTGAGGTTGATGTGGATGAACTTCCTTGATTTTCAAACCTTTTTCTTTCCAAAACTATGTCCGAATCGAGACGAAACATGAAGCTTGACGAATGACTCCGCAAAAATAACTTTCTCCTACCCTCGGTTGTTTTGGCTCGTGATATATTTTTTATGTAGAAAGAAAATCAATGTTAACGTCGGCGTCATGATTTCTTCTCCCATTCACAATGAACGAAATTCTCATCGTTTTATAACCGATGCAGTAATTCTGAATAATCTTTGACTGCTTCAAATGTTTTTCACGAAATTTCCCACATGGGGACGTTTCTTACCGCATATCAAAGTACGCTTAAAGGCAATCCATTTCATTTGTAATCAAATTTTGATTTTAATATTGACTTGGGATGGAAAGTGAAAGGAAAATGTACGATTTATGTTTGTTGAAGTTATGTTGTAACTTATGCTACGCTTCATGTTTCTCTCCATCGTGGATACAAATTTTATTTTTGTCGCTCTATCTTGTTTTAAATGTTAAAAGTTTCTAGTTAATTCATACGTTTTTTGCCGCTGGTAAATCTGTTGGGAAATTCATGTCGTGTTTTACCAACAAAAAAATCAAAGTAGAAGAGTAAAAAGAGATGAACATACAACAAAAAAAAAATAACCCTGGCAATGACAACAACTGTGATTAACTTGATCGCATAAGCCATGAAAATTTCCAAGCTTTTCTCTTAAATTATTTAAATTTACATTTAGTATTGATGTGCTTTTGGTGTGTTTACTTCAAAAAATATTTCTAGTGAGTAAAAGTGACGAACGAATCTTGATTTGTCTGGTTATTTAAAGACATCACTCAAATAACTTGTGACGAATAAATATTTAATATTCAATTGAAGCAACAGTTCCCCACTCCAATAACAGTTTTGTTTGCGCAGTTAAATCAAGTCTTAATTGCTTAATTTTGTTGCTCTAAATTTTTCATGATGATTTGATGTGTACAGAAAAATTCTTTGTTTAGTAACATAAAAAATATGTTGTGGATACTTTGATATGTTAAGCAACCGGTTGTTTAGTTAAACCTTGTAATGGCACATTCGTTCATTCTGTCCTTGAGTACAATAAAAAATATTTTCATGCTTCGTTCATTAATTTTTATGCTTTCATTGTTTCTCGGAAATTCTTTTCTCCGCATACACACAGCACACATATTGATGTTTTGTAGTTATCGATTTCATTTTCATGTGTGATAATCTCTCGATTTTATAGCAATAACAGAACAATAACAGAGCCAGCTTCACGCTTGTCTGATGATCCTTTCGTTACATGCGACGATAACCTCAGCACGAACACCAGCACGCCAACATCATTGAAGAAGCAAGAAAGCATAGATTCACCAATGAAAGATGGTGGATATAAGAAGCGAAATTCGAAATCACTTCCGGTGCGAAACGATGGAACCTTAGATTATGATGGTTCGTTCCTTTCTTAATTAATTCCCACAATGATTTATGTCACAATTTAATGAAATTTTCCGTCATTTCATCTCCACCAACAGCAATCTATGAGGATGAATCTGACAATGATTTATCGATGGAATCTCATGGCTCGGTTGTAACGCATCTCTTATCTCAAGTGAAGATCGGCATGGATTTGACGAAGGTTGTGCTGCCAACATTCATTCTTGAACGTCGTTCGTTGTTGGAAATGTATGCTGATTATTTCGCACATCCGGATCTCTTCATAAGAATTGCTGACTTCAAAGATCCACGTGATAGGATGGTGCAAGTCGTAAGATGGTATTTGTCAGCTTACCATGCTGGTCGTAAAAGCTCCGTTGCCAAAAAACCTTACAATCCAATCATTGGTGAAGTTTTTCGATGCCATTGGAACATTCCAGAGTTTGGTGAGTTTAATTAACAATTTAATGAATTTAAATTTTTCATTTCAATTTTTAGAAAACAAACAAAATGAATCGTCAAAAGTTATCAAAGATGGACCAGTGCCATGGTGTAAAAATGATCAGTTGACTTTCGTAGCCGAGCAAGTGTCTCATCATCCTCCAAGTGAGTTAAATTTACGAAATGATTAAAGAAATTTATCAAATTCTTACTTTTTTAAGTTTCTGCCTTTTACGCTGAGCATCAAAGTAAACGAATCAGTTTTTCTGCTCACGTTTGGACGAAATCAAAGTTCTTAGGACTGTCGATTGGCGTTCACAATATTGGACAAGGCGTTGTAACTTTATGTGATTTAAACGAAGAATATATTCTGACATTTCCCAATGGTTATGGAAGGTAAGAGACGCAAATGATTGATTGACTTTGTAATTGTTAACTTCAAGTTTCATTCTTCAATTCATCAGATCGATTCTTACTGTGCCATGGATTGAGTTGGGTGGAAATGTAACAATAAACTGCCCTAAAACCGGCTATCATGCTGAAATTGATTTCCTCACAAAGCCATTTTACGGTGGCAAACGAAACAAGATTCAAGGTGAGGTTTATTCGCCAAACGAAAAGAAATCTTTTCTCAGTATTTATGGCGAGTGGAGTGGCTTAATGGAAGCGAAATGGAATGATGGAACAAAAAGCAAACCCGAAGTGTTTGTTGATGTCAATCGAATTCCAATTTTTAAGAAGCAAGTTCGTTCTGTTATGGAGCAAGATGAGTACGAATCGAGAAAAATTTGGCGTGAAGTTACCGCGGGTTTGAAGTGAGAAGATTATCAACATAATTAAACATTTCTCTTTAAATTGAACTTTTCTTTGATTGATTAGAGCAAATGACATCGATAAAGCAACAGCAGCGAAATTTAATGTTGAACAAAAACAACGAGAAGAAGCTAAAGTAAGGAAAGATGAAAATGCGGCATTTGCAAACAAGGTCAGTTAAGTTAAATATTTCTAAAGCAACAATTAATTAAAAACTTTCATTTGCAGTTCTTTAGAGCCGCTGGTGATGGTTGGATTTACTTAAGTCCACTTTCTCATAGACTTAAAATTGAGCAAAGCAGTTAATGGAGTTAAAGTTTTTTAGTTGATGTTCGGTATGAAAGTAGTAAAGTCAAAATTAACCAAAACTTTTGAAGTTTCTTTTTTATATTTTCGTCTTTTTTGCCATTTAAAAGAAAAAAACGAGAATGCCAGAAAATTCCGTAGAACAAACTTCTACTTCAATTATTTCTTTGTAAGAGCGGCGAAACTGCAATGAAGGCTTTTGTATTTGCGTGTACCATCGATCACCTTCAAATGCAAAAGCTTTCATTGCAGTTTTGCCGCTCTTACAAAGAAGTAATTGAAGTAGAACTTATCTGCCGCAATTTTGTTCTACGGAATTTTCTGGCATTCTCGAAAAAAACAAAGCATAAAGCCCCGTAAGAAAAGCCAATACTTTAATCTTAATGCAGTCCAGTACTAATTTAAACATAGAATTATTGTTTTATCAAGTTAAATATTTTAATCGGAAAAATAAAATAAAAAGAAATTGGAAGATTTATCGATTTGACAATGTTGAATCAATAAATTTGCCAATTACGAGTCGTAATGTTAGGGAGATGTTGATCAATAATGTCACACATAAAATGAAAACTTCTTCAAGAAACTTTAAAGAAAGACAAAATCGAATTGATGACACGAACTCTCCCACTATGATATTGATAATTTTGAATCGTCATTAAGTGAAATTTTAAGAAACTTATCTAATGTTTAGAGCACACAAAAACACTTTTCTTCCTTTAACTTAGATTACTAGAATAATAAAATTGACTTGACATCAAACTTTAAAGTTACACAAAACAAATTAATGACGAAATGACTTAATCACATTATATAACGAACAATCGCTAGCCAATGTTATTAATGCAAAAAAGAAACTAAAAACCTAATTGAGATTTGAATACATAATTCTCAAATTGCGTATAAAATTAAAGAATGTTAATCCACTTTTCCCTTTCTCTTCTTACATATTTTTTTTCTTCCATTCCAAAGCACAATTAAAAAAGTTTTTTTTGTTTCATCGAAACCCTTTTTCTAACTTTTAAATATAAAAACTTAATTACCTACTTAGGAAAAAGATTCTAAAACAAAAAAGTCGTTGAAATGTGTGAAAAGATAGAAAAAAAATGTTTGTAACAGCATTAACATATCAACTTAATGAAAGAATTTGAAGGAATCCTTTGCACTTTTTTTACGCTACACAAAGCCATCAAGCAGCAACGTCCTAAGCAATATTTACTTTATTCCAATTTTTATTCATTTACATACCACTTTTAGAAATGACCAAGAAAATAAACCTTGTCACTGTGAAATAAAAAGAAAGAAGGAAATTAATTGATTCGCTTGTCTTTAAGAGAAATTCTTTTCCAATCTAATCCATTACGTTTGCACATTCGAATCAAATAAGAAATAATGAAAGCAAGTTTAACAAGACAAGATGATATATTTTTTGTATTATCGTTAAACTGGGCCATGTTTTTAAAATCCAGTTAATGAATAAATAATGAAAATCTCTCATGAAGTATCCTTGAAAATTGAAAACAAATGAAATTTTAGAGAATGAAAATCTGCTGTTATTTGAACATGAAACGACAACAATAAAGTTATTAATGAAAAACATTGCACATTTTATT